TTTTTTTAAATTTCGTATAGAGTAACAAAGGGTTAAAAACTCATCAGGTATTTTTACTGTCTGTGTCACCACTGGGGAAATTTTGTTCCCTACCTGTGCCAATGACACAACAGAAAATGAGAGAAAGTCTTCCCAAATTAAGGGCTAATCTTAATTTTGACAGTTGTAACTGAAGAAGGTTTCCATTGGAGGAATTTCCCATCTGCTCCTGTTTTAGTGACAGCTGTAAAATTTTTCAATTTGCTTTACTTTGTGTCTCAGGGGGAAATGGTCGCCAGGCCAGAAAGTAGCTCTTCCCAACTAGGACGCAGGCATCGATAAAACTTGACAGCGGTTATAATTCATTTCCACCCTACCCACAGCTAGAAAAAAAAAAGTTTTGCCTGGAGTTGCACTTTAATTCCAAAAGTAAAAAGGTTCTTTATTAAAGCTGCATGTGGTATCTAGGCTACAAATAATAATTGTGTCTGGGATGAGCATGACTTGTGGTGGAGTCACTGAGATGTCTGGCATGACAAAAGCCAAATTATTGCAACAGTGACTTACTCTGTGCTCCCATGTGTTAGTTCCGTGTATTGGGGGGGTCCAGTCTGGAGGTTGAGACATCTACTCACAGGTCACTTTTATTTTTGCCAGACCACCCGTGTAAGGGAACCTATGGGCTATTAAAAATAGGGAGACTGGAGTTTAACCCCTCAGGTTTATCAGGTTTAATTACAAACCTGGCAACCACATGTTGTGTTGTAAAAGTCCTGAGAAGAGCTGAGGAATGTGGACACATACTAATGGCCAGTCCTACATATGTGCTTCCCCAAAGCCTTTAAATTGCAAAATGTAGATATGTTTAATTTCCTTCATATGTGTTGTGGATGTTCACAGCATTTCTATGTGGATCCCAGTGCACCTTCCTGTTGTACATTTGGCAGATCTGTGGCAAGAATACACAATTCAGTCACAAATAGGTGAACACCTTTTTTCTCGTGTCTATGTTTTGTTTTTGGGTGAACTATTTAAAGGAGGAAAATGTTTTAAAAGGTTTTGGTTCTGTAACAGGAAATGAGGCCTGGGGTAGACAAAAGTCTTGCTTCGGTAGATGCCAGACCTCGACTAGCCATTACATACCATGCTAACTGTGGTTCCTCTTTTCCTCAACAATTATAATATTGTAATTGCAAATTACAGAATGCTGTGAACTGAGTCATAGCAGGCAGCGCAATCCACAAATTGTAAATAGTGTTTATTCTAATTGGAATTATCTTTTAAGTTTTATGGCTCCAGCTAGCAAATCAAAAAGTGTAAAACCTAATCTCTATATTTTTTGTTTTTAGGCCCCATTCACATCTATGTGTCGCAGGACGGTGCATTTTGTCACACCTTAATGTGCTTTGCTTTAAGTCGGCCTATATCATTTGAGTAAGCTGCCGACGCACCACAATGGGCCAAAAATGCAACTGCACTATTTTATTTCAATGCAGTGTAATGTGTTACCATGCTTTGCTGTGCAGTGCGATGCAGGTTTTTGGAGGTGCATTCCTTAAGTTTATTTTTTAAAATGAATGGCAGCACATTAACGCATTCATGTTGTGTTACTGCGTGTTGCAGAAACACGTGTTACCCAAAAGCATAGGCCACTAGCTGACATGACCACTGCTCTCACAGTTGGTGTTTCTTAAAGCCGATCTCTTGACCAATAGCTAAATGCACCATTAATATACATATAGGTGAGCTATTTTACCTGCCAAGGTACATATATCTGTCCATCTGGTCCTGTGATTTACACAGCCCAGCCAGACAGAAGAGTCAGCTGCCTGGTGACCTAACCTTTCTCTTGTGCAATTAGCTTGGTCACCTTCCAGCCTGTGATTGGACAGTGGTAAAGCAGAAACAGTCGGATGAGATCATCTCTCTGCTCTCACCTATCAGCATGGTCCTTTTTAGCATGCAGAATAACTGGTTCCAAGTGCTGTCCCTCCCTCTACCTGGTGTGCTGTATAGGTAATTATATGAGACTGAAATCTGCTCACATTCAGTTAGTTCCATTTTATGTACTTAAAAGACATTTAATTCTATTTTAATATTCATTTTAATATTTGCATTAATTGGTGTATGTTTTACGTATGCCTGGATTAAGGTATGCCAACTTTAAGGTATATGGGCAGTTTAAGTGTATGGGTATGCAAAATAAGGATGTAGACAGGTTCCAGTATTTATGTAAATGCTATGTAAATACAGCATAGGCCCAATAATTTCCTTTCATTTCGTATCCATCATAGTCTTTCCAGTTTATATTCTCACTTCCTTCCTGACATTCTCCTCGTCTCTATTTTCATTCAATATATTTCCTATCATTGTTTTTCCTTCCCTTCGTGTTTATTAATCGTTTCCCCTTATTGTCATTCTTTCCTTTTATCTGCATTTCTTCCTGGTGATTCCTAGACATTATCTATATATTCGTTTATCACTCTTTCATATTTTTCTGATGTTGCCCCTTTAATTCCCCTTTACTGACGCCCTCTCCGTGATGGTTCAGTATGCCTTTATTGTTATTATCCCGACTGAGATTAGATTTTAATGGACAGCCTTTAAATCTTGGTGTTACGTTCTAATCTCCCAATCTCCCACTTCCTGCTGGCCGCAGTCCAAGCAAATTTCGCTTCCTGGCTGCCTGTAGGATGCTCAAGGATGACAGGAGAAAAGTTGTGTGTGCGTTGTGTGTGGGTGGAGGGGGGGAGGGAAAGCTTCGCTATCCTGGCTGCCATTTCTGCAGCTGGAGACAATTTTATAGCGTTTCCCCAGACTTGCCTGCCCCTGCACACAAATGTGGCTATGGAAGGGGGTTGGGGAGAAATCAAACACATCTCATAGCAACCACAGTACCATAATTGTTCTACCAGCAGCTGGGAGAAAGCAGATTTCCGAAGTGCATTAAAAGCTGGCAGTGCGCAAGGTGCAGTCATGCCAGACTCTCCTCTGCTATTCCAGGCCTTGCTTACAGGTCTTTTAGCTGTGCATATAAATGTACAAGTTGGCCGAAAGAAATACAGGCTGGAATGAGCGTGACCTTTGGATATTTGCACTTCAAAAACACGTCATTACAGAACTTAATGGTAGTGCAGCGGACAATTTTTCAAATAACCGTATTCATTGCTGCACTGCTCCATAAGGTGGATGGGTACCTAGGGTGATAACTATTTATAGGAAACTAGGAGATTAACACTCGTTAGCATGATCAGAATCTAAAAGACCTCCATGAACACAATTCCCCTGTCTGGATTTAGCTAGCATATATTGGGAAAGCAGGATGTTAGGGGGTAAAACCTGTTCAGAGGATATAAATTATCCCCTGGTGTAATGATACAAGCCATGCCAGACAGTATTGGCTAGGTGGACCCGTGCTGGAGAAGATGGGTTGCTACTACATGCTTCCCAACTTTCTGAGATGAGAACGAGGGACAAAGGGCACCCCTTCTATGCCCCAAGTCATGCAGATTATGGAAACTTCTAATACAGAAAAATGATTGGTTAAATCCACAATTTCCTTTTGTACTATTACTTTTTTGCTTTATACTGGCTTTAAAATATAACAAATTCAGTAATTTAGGATGAAAGGTTTAGTGTAGTATGATGGTTTTCATAATAAATAGTACATTTTATTAGAGGTCTGTACATCAGACCAAAAAAGAGGGACACCTGAGAAAGAAAGGACGGTGGGATTTGGTTCCAATACAGGGACAGATGGGGGCTTTGCTACTATGCAAGACTGATAACAGTTCTGCGTTATTAGGTTCTCTTTGCAACTCTTGGAGATCCAGTTGTGTTCAAATTCAGCCATATTCATGGATTTCCCTCATCCTGTGTACTGCGTGTATAATGGCTCATTTTAGGTCAATATTTTTTTTGATTGGGGCAACTTGAGGAAAATATGATATTTCAGAACCCAGTTTTACATGCTAAGGAATAAACTAAGTTTGGTCCATGCTCACTGGATGTAATAAGTTTTGCAGGAGATATTAAACCCACATAAAACATAGGGTAGAGGTTTGATATGTATTGCTATAAACTTTCCATGTCCACACA